AATCGTAAAAAAAACAGATTTAAAAAAAGAATGTGGGTACAGGGCCAAAAAAAGTCCCTCCGTGACTGGCGCGAAACTTTGCCGAAGGGAAAATTTAAATCCTGCGTACCGTATCCCCGAGCCTTTTTTTTCGCCAATAAACTCCGCGCCACTCCGTTCACACGTAGGTACATTCCCGTTACTCTGCCAAACTTTTTTTCTCTTCAAGAACCCTATGGACGCGCGCGCGCACGAGCGATAGTACGAAATATTTTCTATTTCCACCGGGGCAGCCTTCAAAAGTTTGTCAAAAGTCCCCGCCCAAGTGTCGCGTCTCGACGGTAAAAAAGCACCAAAGCGCTGCTATTCTCGCGCTCCGCCGCATATAGTCCACGCGCCCAGAAAACACCGGTGGCGGAAAACTCGAGAGCGGCAATTCCTCTCTTTTGACGGGCAGCCAATTTTAAATCAAAAGTACCCACTCCACCCGCAGTCGCGAAATCGGACACAGGGAAAGTAGCCGCGGTTAAAGGGCCGTAAAAGCCGCCGTTTGTTTTTGCATCGCAGGTACGACTATTTTTGATCTTTAATTGCCCACCCGCGCTCCTCGCTCGTTCGGCCGTAAAATTTTCCGAATTTTCCGCTCCCCCCGAAACGTCTAAATTTAATTTAGAACCGAAGGAGAAAAAAAATAAGCACGACTTTAGGTCCAGAAGACGGAAAAGTGGTGTGCCTCGCGGGCGGATACACGCTCGGAGCCGAGAAAACGAAAATGATGTACGCATCCATTATTACGGAATTCCAGTCGACTGTGTGTGCTGGAAAGGCTGCTCGCTGAGATGGAGCGTGTGTAAAGGACGGGGGAAATAAACAGTCAGGCGCGGAGAAGAAGCAGCGGTGGTTTTCGCGCCGGTGTAAATTATCCGCGGGGGATCGTAAATGCGCCGTTGGATCTATTGAAAAAGCAGGAGGGCGAATAAAGGAAAAAGAGCGAATTATAAAAAATTGGGTCAGCGTGTGTGTATGGGTGTACGGGCGCGCAGTGGCTGTGTACGCGCTGCTGATATATTTCTGGACGTTTTAATTTAGCTCTCGGCGAGTGTATCGGCGGGGGGGGGGGGCCCAGGACCCCCCCCCCCCCTTGGGGGTTTTTTTTTTTTTTTTTTTTTCGCGGATGGATAAATCAGGGTGTGCGTGCGCTGGTCACCCGAGATTCGATGCTAACCGGGAGGAAGAGCGAGCGAAATTACCTTTTTTCGACAATTTCTTTCTTTTTTTTTCTTTTCCGGAGCGCAACTTGACGCCGGCATATTTCACACGGGGGATTATTTTCGGCCCCTCGGACGTAACGTGCGCTTGATTTATAATAAAAGTGTTTGATGAATTGCGATGGACTCGCCAAAATCGCGCTACTCGTATTTTCAAGCAGTGACAAATGCCTCTCCCTCTCTCATGCGACCCTCTCTGTTCCTTTCTCCCTCTATGTCTGCGTGTTTCTCGATTTCGGATCTACGATTCGTAGATTAATAACATTTTAATGGTTTTTAGCCCAAAATTGCGAAGAATTAAATTTTTTCTTCAACTCGTATAAATTGACTCCCTGCGTGGTCTTTTCTTTTTTTTTGTTTGCCAACAAGCGGCACTGATCAGTTGTCCATGACAATCAATCACTGACAATGTAACTTTTAAAAAAGGTGTCGCATGTATGGGGTTCAACTTTTATATTTTTCATCACGAGAGAAGTATAACATTGATTGAGTTTAGTTTTAATCGATACCAATTACTAAATTGTTAAGGATCTTTCTCTTGGAGTTAGAACCACGTTGTTGAAGATAAAGTTGGAAAAAAAAGTATAGATCACGCTTGCCAGCTGGCACAGATCGGGTGGTGAGGTACAGTGGAAGTTTGGAGAGTTTTGGATGGGTGAGTGGTTAACGTGTAAGATAAGCAATCTTGAAGAGCTCGATTCTCATAGATTCCACTCAAGAGTTTTTTCCGGGGGTTTCCGATGGGAAAAAGTACCTTTGACATCTCAACATGGCACTGTTATATAGATAAATGTGGATTTTCAAAGATTCGTATACTCGGTGTGAATTTAGAAGATATTACAAATCAACAAACATAACAAAAAAGTTCATTATTTAACCAGTATATAAGTACAATTTTTTTCACTGTTGTATCGTGAAAAATGTTTCATGAAAAATTTACACTACATCCTCGAGATAAACGTACGGAATAAAAAAGTTTTAGTGCCCTGTAACTTTTGTATGAAACACTAACTTGTCGTATAATATTTCACTGTAATCAAAAAACGTGGTTTTTTTTTTATCTCATTGTATGACATAGCGTATGTATTACATCTGACATCAAAAAAAAGGATAACACAGAAAACTTGTACTTAAATTAAATGTCAAATTTTATGTTCAAAAAAATTTGTGTGAAACGTAAATTTGTCTTAAAATAGATGGATATAATATTTGGATGTTGGTTGTATAAGATTAGTTAAAAATTTTTTGAATCATTAAATTTAATCCATTGCGTTCTATAGTATAAACATCCAGCTTTTTACCAAATTGTACCAAAGTTCAATAGAATGTAAATAAACTGATTTAGTGTTACAACTTGATTTCACACTTGTAGACTCTATTCTACTCGGAATAGGTTAGTGAATTTAAAGTTTTTTTCGTATTCTCAATGGAAGATTTTGGTAAGGTTACCTTAATTAAAATAAATGAAAAATCACTAATTCAAAGGAAGTATTAATTTTTCAGTAAATAAAAACGAAACAACTGCAAATCAGTAAAAATTCTGTTTCGTTCGTTCAATTTTTGTTGATTTATTGATTTTGTTGTGAAAATTATGCAAACTAACACAATTGGAGTGATATTTTTACTCCTTTATAAAGAATATAGGTTTAAAAACAAAGGTAACCATAAATTTCAAGTTTGATCTATAATAACAAATATTTGATAAAAAAAAAACAATTATCAGATGGGGGGAACCAAAGTGCTACAAGGAACGTTTAAATGTCAAAATCAAATGCGTTCTATGGATATATCATTATTATACGACTTACAAATTTATTTAACATAAGTCCACTCAGCTGCTTTTCTTTTGCCAAATATGTCTGAATTTATGGTTTTTTTTTTAAATTTTTTTATTAACTCAAACTTTATTCTAACAAGCACAAACAGTAAATTGTACTCGTGTGGGTGCAGGAGATGATTTTCGAAATCAGTCAAGATCGAATGGACCAGTGCCAAAAATTATTATAAATCTTCTATCCACACAGATCCAGTATAAACAAGCAGCTTTATTGTAATTCCTATGGCACATATTCGTATACGAGCCGATGTACGAAACAAAGAAAATCACAATTACACGCGAGCGGCTTATCGAGCGGGACTTTGTATTTTTCCCTCAACCTATATTTGCCCAACTCTCTCGGGAGTGAAGAAGCGTGTGTTACGCTCGTCGAGCACGATAAAAAACGCGAGTTCCGAAGGCTCGGCTTGCGTATATATATGCGTATACCTATACGTTGCGAAGTTGTAAAGTGATGAATCTCAAGAAAGTGAGGGGGAGACGAGACTGACGCACGTGGAGCTGGAGTAAATTTATGGAAGCATACGCGATCGACCGATTTCTCCGATACCGACTACATCGACAAAGCTTAGACGCGATCCTTCTTTTCATGAAAAACCCTTGCACTCGGCATTTCTGCACGAAGGAGCTTCTCGCACTGTCCAGACTCCGCGGTACATCCCGAGCCAAAAGTTCATTCACCGCGTGCACACAATGGCCCAAGGAGCCTACGACGATATTGCGGAAGCTGAACGTATATATACTATATATGTACGCGCGATAACACGCGCGCGAGTGAAGTTTAAGCGCCGGCGTCTAATGGGACGTATTCGAGAAAGTGCAACAAGCGCTCGAGTCTTATCTCGTGTGTACTTGGATCACACCTTCCGCCGACGGTCCTGTGCTGCTGTTGCGGGGAGTAAAAAAATAAAATTCGTTTGAGCTTTTTTTTACTCATCCCTGTCACTACTTTGCGGGATTAGGGGAGAAAATTGCGATGCGCCGAAACAAAAAAAAAAAAAACCAAATTCCACCCTTACGAGGAAGTTGCGGAAATTTGGATTAAAAAGCGTAAGGAGGGAGCTTTCGAGGTGAAGGCACGCAAAGTTTAAAACAGGGCCAGCCAGGACAAAGCTCCACGTGTTTCCGCACGCGGGGAGAGATCGCGAGTGTACGTATTTCTCTCTCTCTCGTTGGACGAGGGAATATACAACGGGGACGTGGGCGTAGCTGGAAAACGCGACTTTGCGAGTACATGGAGAACTGAGTCGTGATGAAAACGCCGAGTTGACGTAAAGCACTTCCTCCCCCCCCCCTTTTTTTTCGGTACATACAAATTCACGTATACACTCGTGATGCGAGTGCTGTTAAACTTTAAATTTGAAAGGTGATTTTGACGGACGTGCCGTGCGCGGTAGTTGGACGGGAATTTTAATTTAACGGGTGTACGCTCGTCGACAAAATTAATCAAAACTCCATAACCCAGGCGGTATCGATCATCGTTGCGCTGATCGGCAATTAAAAGCGCTTGTTTTCTTCACAGGCGCGTCTGTATTTTCGCAATGTAGGTCGACGCGTTTCGTCTTTGAATGTCATTCCTAGAAAACCAAAGTTTCAACGCAAAATTATTGCACCCACCGCGAAGAACACGGCAGAGACATAATAAAAACCGGTGATCGACGCTTTCGCGCGCAAGGTCCGGCACAATCGTATATTCTCGCGTAATTTGTGGGGAGTATTTTTATGGGCACACCCGAATCCATATTTAAAAAAATAGTCAGCACCCAATGCTTGTTTATTTTCCCGCGGACCTCGGGATCAACCTCCACTCCGGCGAGAGAGAGAGAAAAAACATTTTCGCAGCTCTGCCACGGCGCTCCCCCCCCCCCCCGTCGAGAGAAGCAAAGGTTAAAGGATCGCTCCCGGCGCTCTCTCACCATTGTCTCGGCATAGCGACCCTCCTTGGCCGAAAAGGGTCCGGCACAGGACGGCTTTTCCTCTTCGATTTCACCAGCGCCGTTTCGAAGACGATACACCCACGCACCTGAACTTGTTTGTTTTTCAACCGATTGTAAAGTGGAGCGCGACAAAAACGGCACCAAAATGTGGACCGAGAAAAACACGATTACGCGCGACACACGCGGGTTTAACCCGACGAAGGCGTGTGTGTCCGGGTGGCTGCGCGTACGGTGGGCTGCGCGCACGCGTGAGGCGTGAGAGAGCGACTGAAGTCAGTATCTGACTCTTCTTCGGGAGATAGCCGCCGATGACGACGAAACGCCACCTGCGCCGGCGCACGCTTTGCCCTATATATTATTACCCGACTGTGCTCCCGTGTACGTGGGCACACTCTCTCCCTCCCTCATGGGGTTGACGGGAGATGGGTGTAACAGCGGCTCCGTTCCATCAGGCTCCTCCACACGCGCGTGCATGCAGTTGCTGGATTTTTTGCCCGTGTGGACCTTCACGCTGGAATTGAAAGGGGACATTTTCATTTTCACCGCGCGATAATTCAAACGTAACTCGGTTTTTGGACGCTTCGTATACAGGACATACTTACAAACTAGTGGCATTTGGGGGATGAAGTTTTTTTTTAATTTTGTTTTTTTTCAATTCCATTACTTTACGATGATTGTATGATTGGCATTGGCGGTGTTTTGGAAAGAAAAAAAAAGGGATTATTGTCCACCAGACTCGAAGCGAATAAATTCCAATAAATGCCACCGCTCCCATTTCCAGGGAGGACGGGAAAGCCACAGCCGCCCACGTCGATTCGATTTTTCGCTTTGGCATCTCGCGATATTTGGATTCCGAAATTTCGGTGGCGCGCACTTTGCTCGGGAAAATCACTTGCACAATCAACTGGTCGATGGATACACGCTCGGTTAACCGCGCAATTTCTCGGGAGCTCGGGAATTTCGGATGCCATCCAATTGGTTTTGCGTGGAATATGTCTCGATACGCCGCTCGAAAAAAAAAATGAAAAAAACGTCGCGACTGTATAGGTGAAATGATTATTTTTTTTGCTCGTTACTCCACGTAACGAAATGCAATTTCAACGACACTCATGCATCTCGTATGGCACATTGCTCGCGTGGCGGCATTACGCTACTGTTCCACTTTCATCGGGACGTTGTACGTTACATTGGGAATGCCTTGCAAACGAACGCTTCGAATGAATTTTCAGACTATTGATTTCAACTCGATCTCCATATAGGACGGATGTACGGCATTCCGACCAATAACACACTTGTACGTGTATACACGCGTCACTTGACACGGCTGACGTGACATTTTTTTCTTTCATCAAAGCAAGTGCCTCAAAAAACTTTTCTCTGTATACCATATACATATATAATAATATAAATTTTTTTTTCCTACAACCACGACTTGTAAGCACAGTCACCCTCAATGATTTTGGAAAAAATAAAATTTCAACATTTCCGTCTCGTCCGCGGCGGGGTATTAATAATCGAAAAGCTGAAAGAGCGCATTGTCCGGGGTAATATACACACAGCGGGTATAATATATAATATAGCCCAGCTCGCGCGGAAACTCGCTAAGCTCCGTTTGTCATCGTGCCACTACTTAGGCGCTCTCGATCCGTTCATTGATAAATGGCGCTTGGCTTTTGGAGCCGAGCCCACAAGTTGTATAGGTGAGAGTTTTGCGAAAAGCAGCCATTGCTTGTGTACGAAAACGTATGAAAAAAGAAAAAAAACCGCCTCTCAAGGCGAATCGGAGCAAAAGCTCGCGTCGCTACAGATATTCGTTAAAAGTTTTAAGCGGCATACGAGGGGTGGGGGGGGGGAGGCGCCGGGGGATTAAGTGTAATTAACTCGAGGTATTAATTAACTCGTATTTTACCAGAGTATCATGAGCCAGCGCAGGTAGCCGGTAATTATCGGCGCGCGTTAGCCAGCGTTGCATGTAATCCGCACCGCCGCGGCTACCGACGATTGCGAGCGCAGATGTTTTCTCATCCTCCTACTCCTTCGTTTCTTTTTTGCCGTATTTAGTGCTGCGAGAAAACAGCTGTTGAACAAGATACATCGATGCTCGTGAAATCGAGGGAGCTTTTTTTCTATCATCAAGTGGTTTTTGTTTGAATTTCAAAACATGTGTCTTCTTCTTATCGGCAAGCTTTACATCCACTGTGGTGTAGTTTTACGTATAGGTATGTGAAACCAATGCCAAGCTCTAGCATCTATGTATACACAATTGACTTTACGTTCTGCAGTACGTAATTTTATTTTATTTTTTTATTCTATTTATATTTATATCGATTTGAAATCACTTGTTGGCATATGAGTGAATTATTCCACGTCAAAAGGTCGGGACGGATAAAAATTTGTCTGTTGGGGCCAATAGTTCTTTGATGAGCAGCGACTCTCCAAATCTGAGTTACAAGTTTTTCGCGTGCACCGCGCATATAGGTATTCGAGTGCCGCGGGATGCATCACAGTTGCACAGTGTGCAGTGCATTTGTACATACGCGGGGAGATCGCGACGGAGCGGCGCGACTGTCGCTCGCACATTCCGCACTGGAACGAAACTCCACCGTCATACAGTCCTGATCGCGACTTTTTTCTTTTCGATATTTCCACGTTTGGAAAAAAAACATTTGCCACCCAGGTTTTTTTGCCTGGTGCTTTTTTCTCACGGCAAGCTCGGCTCGGGTTAATTGTCGTGATAGCTTTGTTTGGAATTGAAACCTTTTTTTTTCCCTTCTTTCCCAAGAACTAGTGACATTGAATACACTAGGGCGCGGCTGCGTGTTTGACTTTCATCTGTAACGACGGTTTTGGAATTTTTTTTTTTTTTTTTTTTACCATGGAAAATTAAAGAATCATTTGGTCGTTGGGTATGCGGTAAAAATATATGGTTTGGAAAAAAAATGGAAGAGTATTTTGAAACGCTTTGGTTGTTTAGATACTTTGAACATCTAAAAATTTTATTTAGTCCAGAATTCAACAAGTAAAATAAAACATTCACAAAACGATAAATTACTAGCATGGACCAAAAGAAGCTTTAAAAGCTCACGTATACAAGTGACGCGAGGAAAAGCTCGTGGATGTCTTCGGTACGGATAGCGCGAGAGCGATGCAATTTCCCTATTACCTTATATGGAGTATCATCCAGGAACGATTCGTATCAGTAAAACATCAGCGAATGGAATTCTACCAAGTTTAGCGCATGAGCCGTTCACGCCGCATAATATTAAAGAGGTGGCGCGAATATTTTTTTTTACTCTATGCTGATAAGTATACATAACATTAAAGAAGTTCATTATGAACCGTCTGGCGCTCGCGGACGCGTGTTTTTGGGTGTAACTTGAACCGCGAGTTACGGTTAATTGAAAAATCGTATTGTTACAACTGTAGTCAATTAATTTGAAAGTTAATTTAATGGTAACTGCTGTTTGAATAATTAGTTGTCGAGAAATTATGAATGGAGCTACTGCATAATTTTAAGAAGAAAAAATTAATTTAAATAAGATGGAAGTCATGCCACCTCAAACAATGCCCGGATAATTACGGTGCAAAAAACTCGCGGTGGAATGTGCGATTGACAGCTGCAGAGAAAAAAATCTCGTAGGAATCCAGGTAAGCATTCTGCCACCTCCTCGTCAAAGCAACGAGTCATGCAAGTGTATAGGTATGTACGGCACATGCGCTAAACGTGTTGTACAAGTTTCACTTGCTGATGTTCTACGGATACAATCCGTTCCTGGACGGTACTGCCATATAAGGACATGCACAAAATACGTGCGCACGTTTTCGATACCTTATATAGACCTTAGTGCCTTTTTTTTCACTAACCTCGTTCTTTATATTCTTATTTTAGATTTATTTTGCAATAGCCAAGTATCTCCAGAAGAATAATGTGTTACTTAAAATAGTTGTTTTTATCTAATAATTGTTTTTTTTTCGTTATAATATAATCATTACAACCATGGTTCAAAATTTTTTTTCCCATAGAAGCTTGAAAATAAAATTTACCGATAAAAAAATGAAGTGTCCTAACGAATTAGTGATCTGATCGTTTTGACTACAAGTTGCTTGATTAAGAAAAAATTGATACGATATTTCAACAATTTTTGGGAAATACTGTTGCTGTATTGAAAAAAAATTATCTACCATCCGTTACAACTGTGTACACAGCCTTGAGAACTACTAATGATAGTGGAATTACACATGGTATTGACTTAAAAATAAAAATGTAAAAAACGAGGAAAAAGGTTAGTCATTAATCATCAAGAATAATATTAAGGTATTTTATTTGCCTTAAAATTTGGAAAAAATTTAATTTGGTCTATTTTATTTTATACCAAAAATTTTTATTAGAACGTTGTTTTATAAGCATCTGTTCGGACAACCCAAAAATATTACCTACTTTCAAAGTACGTAATAATCAATGGTTTATCTATTAAAAATATACATAGATTTAGTTGTACGAAGTATAATTTTCACGGCTTGAATGCAGATTATCTTCAAAACGTAGTTGAAAAAAAAAAAACAAATTTGTCAGCATAGAACACTACATAATTTTTGTACTGTAAAACAAATGATTGCAAATTGAAGTGAAAAAAAAAAATTGTTCTTAATTTAAAGTAATTTGACTATTTTTTAGAATCGCTGGAAATATCCAAACACGCAGTAATAAAAATGAAAACAAAATAACCCCCCTTTGTCATTGCATCAACCTTTTTGTTATTAGATTTTTTTTTTTTTTTATACAGTAACCTTGAGGCCGTAGACACAGTTGCTAACGATTGGTAAAAGTACGAGCGACAAGTGCTCAAGAAGTAGGAAGACGCGAGAAACGCTCTCGAGCGAACCTCGCCGACTTTCAATCAGGAGAACAGAAGTTTGCCGTGGATGCCGTCGAACAGGTGCAGCGTGAAACGACTGACCCATCAACGGATCGTGCTGCCCTGGTAAGTAACGACGAAGACAGTAGAGACCGTCGTTCCTCCAATGTAGAATTTATGTGTACAGCAGTCGACTTGATAGGAAGATATCCACGACTTGTTTCTGTCATGCGTAGGCATCAAGATAGTGGGATTTTTATTTTTTTTTTCGTTTATTAATCTTTTAAATTTTCTTGAATAATATTTGAGTCACACACTGTACAAAATTTTTAGTAATTTTACTACTAGCGTTGGAAATAATGCGACATTCAACATTGGCTAGTATATATTTCAATTGTCGCATTATTTCCAACATCCAATTTAGTAAAACTATATAAACTTTTCACTGTGCAGTGCTGTAAAAATATTATATGTTTGATGATTTTTATTATGCGTATAAAATTGTTACATTTACACTAACAATAAATTCGTACAAATATCATCAACAAGATACTTTCAAATGTGACGAGAAAAAATTTTCACTTGCGTAGAGAGCAAACATTATGTTGTAATTATGGATTTTTTTAAATTTCTATTTCACATATTAACATAGCAAACATCAGGAATAACGTCCGAATGTCTTTGTTACGTTGATCCGAGCGCATTAATCTCAAAAAAGTGTTATTTCTACATGAAATAATTAAAATTCGTTAGCGGTTTGTATTTGGCTGACACACGTGAAACATTGCATCACAATTAAAAGGCTTATATTCAAGCGTAGCTTTGGCTTGAGTTTAATCTTAATTATCACATACATCACGTAAAAAATAAATGCCAAACTGTACAATAAAGTTAATGTTATAAATTCGCTAAAGAATAAAAAAAAAATTTTTTTTCCTATTTGACACGCACGATCTGTAAGGCCTGATCGTGTGCTTTATTTTGTTATTTTTTTCTTTGTATTATTTTTTTTTTCTTTGATTCATCGACACATCGCGTGCAAATTGCAATAAAATTTGTTCCTAAGACATACACGTACTCGAAAAATGTACTTTTTTCTATGAACACAACAAACTATTACTCCACCCGGCATCGTTTGAGTTTCACGCTTAAAGAGAAAACAATGCCACAACAACAGTCGCGTTCACTCACTGAATCAACATCAAAGTTTTCTGACGCAAAAGCTGCCTCGGTCGCTCAAACCCTTCATAAACACTTTACTCTCACTTGCACAAGTTCTTTTGATCAACGGCTCACTGTCTCCCAATTGATCCTCCCTTCGTCAATCCTTCAAATCTCGCACGTGTTGCCTCAACGAGACGATGAACTCGATCATTCCGATGGGCATGAACATGTCGACCATTTTTTGTGGCACCCATCCCTTCAAGTGGGTATTGACGAGCCACACGAACTCGCACGTTTCGTCGTCCAAAGCTCGGGCTGCGTAACAGCCGACTCCGTTCTCGCCTCTGAAACGTTTCTGGCATTACCATCGTGATACAAAAAAAAAAAAAAAAATGCAAGTAAATTTTTTATGGACTACCTCACGAAATTTTTTCTTAGTGGTATCACAGCAAAATTGGCGGACGCGCCACAGCTCATGAGGTACGAGTTGATCTCTGCCTTGTGTCTCAAGATGACAAAGTCGCGAGGTCCCAGAGCGCCATTCGCCAGAGGCGACGTTCCTTGATAAACAAAGTCGATGTTTTTGTCGATAGCCTAAAAAGACAATTTTACGGTCAAGTTGAAATATATATATATATTTTTTTTAATCATAACGAATAAAATAAACTCACGTAGATCTTTTTCGATTCGCTGATCTGTTTGTTCCACGTGCAATTAATTTCAATGTTATCGTACAAATCGTTAATCACCTTTGCCGCACTACTCTTGATTTTTCCCTGCAATTTGGTGATTATTAGATTATAACAGTTTTTCGTCATTAATCATGTTTGTATAATAACAAGTAACCGGTACCGTTATTTTGAAAATCTTTCCGTCTGGCTTGGGTAAATACATGGAAGAGACGATGTCACCTTCTGAAGTTATTTTTTCCACCTTCCAATCGAGAGACGTAATGATATCGTAACATATTTTTGGTAGAGCAGTGGCTTGCCTCTTTGTCTCGTCAACCTAGAAATAATGAAATAAAGTAACGAATGTCTCATCCTATAATGGTATGCTCGATGTAATCGAGTTTATTGAAACAAAAAAAAAACAACTCATCCGATTTAGATCACAAAAAAATTACCGATTTATTATTCAGTAACTCAACTTCTTGAAATTTTACACCAACTGTTTACTCTTTTGTTGCACAAAATCACGAATATCGTCGATTGGTTCATTAAAATTGTAATTAATCGTCACGTTTCGATATCGCGAAGTACTTTTCCGATCAACGTTAAATACCAGCTCGAACAGCTTACGATCGTGATAAACCAAAAAAGATGAAGGTGTCGAGTGCATGCGTAAGTTATCAATAAAGTTCATCCACCTGTTTGTATTTGAAATAAAAATTTATTTTTCTCTTCGTATAAAAAAAAAAAAAAACGGAGGAAAACAACGAAAATAAAAAAATAAAATCACATAAATTACAACAGACGGACACTCAAAGTCGCTCATTTGGTATTGTAACATTTCACAGAACACCCTGCGTTTAACCGTAGCTCGTGCTAAATCGTATTTTTTTTTTTTTCACACCTTCTCCTGGGGAAGCTTGACGGGCAAATTGGCCGACAAAAAGGACGAGCTCGACTCTTTGCGGTGCGTTTGGTGGTTTTCGTCGTCGGAGTGGTCCGGGGAGTCCATTGGCGTGTAAAAGTGCCCCGCGTTCTCCCTGGACGCGACGACACTCGGCACAATCGAACCCGGCCCGAGTAGCGGATCCCTCTCGGAGGGTAGATTCGCGTAGCCGGAGTACCAGTCCCTAACGAGGCTCTCCTGCGGCACGACTTTAATGTCCAAGAACCAGGCCTCGCCCCACACCAGGACAAACGAGATCAGGATGAACAGGACCTCGAACAGGGGCTGCTTCGATTGAGTCCACTGGAAAACATCAACGACACACATTAGTGACTGTCCTGGGAATTCACCTGCGCCTAACGAGTACAGTTTTATGCAGATGCTAACGACACCATTCTGCCATTTAATTAGACAATTACAGCGGTTCCGTTCGCTAATTGAATCAACGACGTAGCAACAATGAGCCAACGTCTTTTTTTTCTTTTAAAATTCATGACAATGTACAAGTAGCGGATGAGTATCAAAAACCATCTCGCTAAAACAGCAAGTTTCTACAATTTGATTATCTTGCATCGATTTGAAGCACGTATACGAGGAAATCCATTAAAAATGTCCCGTTTTTGTCTCCCCATTTTAATAAAAAAAAAATGTTTTTAGAGGCACACCTTCGAGATGGGGCTCATTTTACTCGTAATGCCATGTACTATGAGGAAAAAATTTTGAACACGGGTTTCAGTGAGGGTGACACCCTTTTCCCGCGATTTGCATATGGATGATGTGTACAGACAAAAAGTGGATATTTTTAGTGGATTTTCTCATGTATAGACGTGATACTCCGATATATACACACTGAAAGTTTTGTAAATATTTATGTTACACAACCTCATAGATTTATCGAAGAAGTTCACATTACTCAATTGAACTTGCCGATGTTGCAAAAATATTAAACACTAGAAGTCATCGTTGCAAAAACCCAATGAAAAGCTTACCAAGAGGGCCGTACGTCACGGTGATAATTGGTTTAATAATAACATTCAATTTTGCCTAGGCTCGCGTTTTAATCTAATTTCGTTCCAACCTTGGGTCTTCACTCTACTTACTGACACGTATATTGAATTATCTCTCTGTTGATGTACGCATACTGTGCCAATTTTTTCGCTCGTTTGACATACATACTTAATCAATGATCGATATCTTCAAAATTATTGTACACCATATAAACCACAATTATGTTAAGTTGTGTGATTTTTAGATTTCAAAAGTATTGTGAATTACACAGTAATAAATAAAACTCAGAACATAAAAAAAAAAAATGTTGTTAAAGTCAGCAATTTTCACAAATTTAATCGTACGAAAAACAAAGTCGAGAAGCACAAGACAGTAATTACTTTGACAACGTCCAACACATATTGCTGACGTAGACGAGATGGAAATAGAAAGAATTAAAAAAAAAATCCAAAATTCCTGCGTAAGGGTACATACACGTACACATATATATATATACCTCATTAAAATGCAGATCCGAAGCGCAACGTGGAAATCGTTGAACCGGTCGCTCGCAGTGGTCTAACGTATTCTAATCACATGGGACACGACATTTCGCGCACTTGAAAAACCTTCCACACCGTAGTTCCCTGCTCGAAGGGAGCCGGGGAAGTGAAGAAATGCTCCCCGAAGAGAGGAAATAGAATACAGCGGCTAGAGCCGGCGTTGCCAGCGCTCCTCTTCGCTCTCCATGGCACAACAGGTTCGGGTGTATATATATATATATACGTATACAATAGGCCAGAAGCTCGTGATCAGTGGCCGATCGCAGCTGGAAGTATATATATTATATACGCGTTTTGTCTATACATGTATATAGCTGACACCGCTAGCCGAAAGACGGAGGAGGAAAAGAGAGGCGAGAGAGCTTATCCTGTAATACTCGCTTCTTCGGTACATCTATACGCAGACCACGAGTATTGCAGCTTCAGATCTTGGGCCAAGGCTGGTGTTTTCCCCTACCAACACTTTTATTTTTCTCTGCTCCTCCCTCTCCTCTCTGTATACCTCTTGAACTTGAATACAAACTTTTTTTTTTTGAAAGTACGTCGCCCGGCGCGCTCTTTATCCGTATACCTATACGTTCTCCGGAACAGATCTGGCAGACGCGTATCTCACGCTCGTTTATACCTTTGATTCGGTCGGTCCGTGCAACACTCGACCCGCGTCTCATTACCTTGTCCTTTGCTCTCGCCTTTGCTTTCCCCGCTTCTGGGCATCGGTCTGTTTTTCTCTTGTCGTCGTCAGAGACATTGTCATCTCATTGTCTTTCAATGATTCAATATTGCTCGTACGTATTGAATGTGTTATTGATAAATGTACGTGTAATCGGAGAATATTTGGTTATCGATTGAATTTTAATGCTTTTTTTTTTTTTTTTTTTTTTCTCGACGTTTTTATCATTTTCGAGGAAGTCCGATGAAACATTTTCAAAACAGCATCGGTTATCAAGTTGCGTCTAGTCGTATACGATTGAGCTTGGTGTGATAATCGAGTGATTATAATTAACAGTGTGACGTATCTTTTTAATCTGAATTTTTTGTTTTGAAAGTTTAAATTATGAATTAAGTACAGCTTAATAGTCTTTAATTGTTGAATTCATAAAAACAATCATGTTGTTCCGAGTACAATTTCTCATGAATGACTAAACTTAAAATTCCTAAATATATCTAACCGATAATGGATATCGGAACGTTCATTGTTTCTAAATTAGTCATTTATGACAAATCGTACTAGGAACAACATAATTTTGGATTCGATAACTCAAGACTTTTGAATAGTGATTCATTCGAAATTTTTATTTTTCTGAAAAAAGGCACCTATTCAGTTTCTTACAAACAAGATAATGTATTGTGTTTACTTGCTGCTTAGCTGAGATATAAAATTGTACATTTAAATCTATTTTTGTATTACTTGTACTTTGTTTTTTTTTTAAGTATAAATTTCAAAAGTTGATGGTTTTTTTTTTTATAAAAATATATCTATTGTTTAAAGAATTCGCAGAAAATACTATTATTCATACAAAATTAAATACATAAAATCTAACAAATACTCACCGTGTATAGAAAGACTTTTGCTAATAGGAAGGCACACGTTGACGAAGTTGTTAACTAAAAAATACATTATTGCATTACTACACTTGGTTAATGAAATTTACAATTTTCATATGAAATGTAATTACCGCCACGATGGACCAGTGGTCTATTTGCAACACGGCGTAAAAAAATAATAAAATAACGAATCTAAGAGCTGCAAGTGCCTGTAAAAAAAAAAATTTTCATGCACTCGCTTATTTTTCATACGATTTAAACTGGTTTCAACCCGAATATTTTGTACTCACAACAACATCGGAGAGAGACGTTTTAATCTGATAATGTATAATTTCATCTACAAAAGCTGTTTGTACATTAGCACCTGAGATCTACAGATAAACCAATAATGTAATCAATCAATGGATTTCGTGACACGTATAAAAAGAGTACCATCAACTTACCACGATACAAAACATCCATAAAAAAAAAGTAAAGAAAAAATCGAAGGTAACGAAGAGGCAGAAAAACCGCCGAACATTCGACATCCTGCCGTCGTGTCTGATTCCTCCGATCAGAATCTCACCCATCGCATCTGGTGTCATGAGACTCTGGGAGTGACCACTTGCGACCCTCGGCGAAGTCAATGATACGTTAAGCGCTGATTCGGCAGCCATGCGTATTCGATGGTCATCGGTTATAAGCGTGTTTGGACGATTTGGACGGGGCATCGTGCCAATAATCGATTAACGCTCAGTAATTGTCTTCGGTGGCAACGACCAAGGAACAGTCGTGAGGCCAACGACTGGGTTTTGTGCGACAGCTTTAATGACTGTGGTCATGAGACCCGGGCTGGTTCGATAGCTGAAAAAAGTCGAACGTTGGCATTCTTTTATTGGAGCTGGTAAGTATCTTACACTTAAAAGTTGAATATTTTGAGTAAGCGGGATTTCATGAATAAATCGGTCTTACATAGTCGATTCGACATATCGTAGAAATGAATAAATATTGCTTTAAAGTTTTCGTTCTAAAAAATTATTACTTATCTAGATGAGTACTTTGAAGGTAACCATTTTTTAAAGAAATGATATAATGAAATTTAAATATTTGGCTTATCTAGACCCTACATTACTTTGGTACAAATTAATACATAAGCTATCAGCTTTAAGAGCGGCTTTGGGAGAGTTCATTCACACAGATATGATAATGCGATTATCTTTCTTCTGGAAAGTAAGTGTAGATGAGAACTTTCTAGAGTGGAAAAATGTTTTCAAAAACGCGAGGATCGTGTGTTTGAGCAGGTGTCGGAGATTTTATATATTTTCGAAAAGTAATGCATATGTACGGTTTATAAATTATTCAAAAGGCAGTAAAATTTTGCCGATCTATATTTGACTTTACCGTGGCTAATTTGTTTCTTTAGCAAAGAGGCCATCTTTGAAGCGGTTGGGCAGCTCAAAACAAATTGTTGTTAATTGCCTAATTAAAGCAATCGCTCAAAATTGCGGTGCAAATCCACGCTGCAACCTATTTTATGGCCAATTTCATTAATTCGACCAGTTGTGGCCCACCGACATTGAGAGCAGTACCCTGCATCGAACGAAGGGTTGAGAGTCACTAAGAATTCATTGGATTGACTTCCAACTAAACCTGACTGTGCAAATTCATGCGCAATGAGTTTTCCTTTTCTCATACCTTATACATTATATCAGATAACAGTGTTATCTGTGCCAGTAAGTAACAGAACCGTATATATTCAGCGTCAATGTATTTGTATTTATTTGAACACGGCCAATACGCACAGTCTAAACAAGGTCAAATATCACTATATATGACGTTAACTCGCACCTGATATTGAACGTTATAATGAAAATTTCGTTAGTACCATACTAAACATACTTTTCCTATAGCAAGAGCTAATTGAAAATTTGTTACGGCTCGCAAGTTTTTCGTTCCTCACTTTGACGTATGTGGAGGAAAAATATTGCGTACAATGAAATTTAATCGAGTTTGAATCAGAGTACTCCACTTTATTTCTTGTCCTACTTTAGAAGTCGTAAATCTCATAATTCTATTTGTCGACTTTTAAGGCATTACCTTTTTACTATCGTCTTTATATTATACAGTATTGATGTTGAGGTCATTGAATGATTCATGCTGTGTATACATGTATGCTCGTGTTCTACAGTAAACAGGGGAGTGAACGAGGGAAATACAGCCTAATTAATGATGAAAGTGACATTTGTACATTTTCATACGTGCAATGGATTGTAGTGAGTACTGATGATAATTTTTACCATCTCAGCAACTTATAGTGCTACGATTTAACAAATGAAAAGAAAAACTATAGAACAATCAAGTTTAGTTGTATACTGTAAGCAAATCACAATCAATGACGGATAGCATAAAAAAATGAGACCATAACAATGAAAAACATAACCAAACTTTTTTTTGTTAATCCTAGTGATGGCACAACGCAGCGTAATACTTCAAGATTTTTAGTTATGGAATGTCAGTAGCTATAGTCATGATTTACACTGTTAACTGACCTTTACGGGTTGAATTGGGTTCAGAAAAAAAAGGTACCTGTTTTCTTTGTTAAATTTTCTCTGCTCCACAGTCAAGTATAGCTTGGAAGTTCAGAGGTCTACTGGAATATTGCAAATTGAAAATGCTGCAAGTCGTGTTGTTTACGTGCATTTTATTTTGTGAATAATTCAGACATCTCTTTGTGGAATCACTATCACACACACTTTGTTGTACACAATTAATCGTAAACAGTGTCTTGATGTATTATAGCTACTGACAGTTTATTTGCTGTTTCTAATTCGGATTTCGTACACTCGAGTCAGCACGTTACTTACCAACCTTTCGGTGGCATCTCTTGATCGAGTTCTCATACTACTTTGGAAAAATTCGTCGGTAACATAGAAAATTCAACAAGTTTCACGTGATTTTTTCAATAAACTAAACTTATTAATAACAAATTAAAGTAGCATTGAAAATTCTTTTAATGTTGGGTGTTAATAAGACAACAGCGAATTAAACATTTTTAATTGTTTTTATTGTAACAATAATAATAGTTTTATACTTTTTTTTTATTTATTGCGTATGAAAAAATAAAAATCAATAAGAAACATATGTTAGACGGTTCAAGCTCGTCAAAAAGCTGGGATCCCCGTTATCGCTCTACCCAAAATCAGAGTGTGAACATCATGTGTACCTGATAACAATACGAAATATAGGATGAAATTTTTAAGAAAGTATTACTCAAATAAAAATTGTTGATGACAACGACTACCTTCGTATGTATTAACTGATTCCAGATTCATCATGTGCCGAACGATGTGGTACTCGTCAGAAATTCCATTTCCTCCTAGCATGTCTCTCGCGTGCCTGGCAATTTCCAGTGATTTTCCAGCGGAATTACGTTTTATCATACAAATCATTTCCGGCGTCGCCCTAAGTTAACAACACAAAATACACTTAAATTCCCAACAAGCAATGTTTATATCCAAAAACATTGAATAAAATACCAACTTTTGTTCATCCATCAGACGGCCAACCCTGAGACATGCCTGCAAACCAAGTCCAATTTCCACCATCATGTCAACTAGTTTCTTCTGTATCAACTGATTCGCCGCCAAGGGTCGCTTGAACTGCTTTCTCTCAAGCACGTAGGCTCGGGCAAGTTTGATGCAATTTTCAGCTGCTCCCAGAGCACCCCAGCCAATACCGTACCTCGCGTTGTTCAAGCATCCAAATGGTCCCTGTTTTACGGGTAAAAATTAATAAATCACGTGGTTCATTGTTGATAGCCTCCCAATAGTCACCCTCAATCCTTGGACATTGGGCAGTAGGTTTTCCTCCGGTACAGTGACATCATCCATCAGGATCATTCCGGTGATCGACGCTCTCAAAGACATTTTGCCTTCGATTTTCGGCGTCAACAGTTTATTTTCGTTACCCTCCCGTTCTATGATGAATCCACGAATTTCGCCGTCGTCGCATTTAGCCCATACAATCAACACATCCGCGATGGGTGAGTTTGTGATCCTAAAATTTTTTTTGAAGTTATTAATTAAAATACTTTTTTTCATCACTCTAAAAAATGTACATCAATGTACACACCATGTTTTACTTCCATTGATAACGTAAACCTTCTTCGACGGATCAAACTTGGCACGCGCCTCCATCGAGCTTGGATCGCTACCATGATTGGGCTCCGTCAGGCCGAAGCAACCCACCAGGTCACCACTAACTATTATTCGTTGTACAAGGAAAATTACTTAAATTAATTGTACACACTAAAATAAAGAAAGAAAATAAAGACTTTGAACGAAACTTACTCAACTTTGGCAGAAAGCGCTCCTTTTGCTCCTCACTGCCGTATTTCGCAATGGCGCCTATGACTAGGGAGGACTGTACGGAAAAGGCGGATCGGTAGCCGCTATCGACAGCTTCGACTTCTTTGGTCAAAAGACCGTAAGCGACGTTAGATACACCGGCCGCTCCGTACCCCTTGAGAGTACATCCAAGGACGCCCATGTCCCCGAGTTCTTTGATGATCGCTCGGTCGAAGATTTCCCGGCGATTGGCCTCCACCACCCTCGGCAGCAGCTTTTCGTTGCAGTAAGCGCGAAATTGGTCCCTGACCATTTTTTCGTCGTCCTTCAGCTGGCTCTCCACGTCCAGTGGATCCTCCCATTTGAATAAAGCTGCAGAAGCATTACAACTTTTTTTTCTTGTAAATTTATGTAATTTTTTTTTTTTTTTTAATGGTAATTTGAATTGTAATACATTTACTACGTCTATGACTTTTTTTTTTTCATGCATCGACATAGTAACTTAAGACATGGCAAAAGTTGATACGAAAGATCCCAGTTTTATCTTTGTTTTATCAACACTCCTCGGTACGACGATAAGGTGATTTAATCTTTGTATCAAATATTTTTATTCCCAGAACACCCACTGATGACTTACATTTTTGTCTTAACTCCACCGTAGTTGAAACATCTGATACGTTCGATTTGGCACATTTAGGAATAATATGACCGCATTCAAATCAAAAATTGATAAAAAACCAAGGCTCCATGATAAAATATTTTACCAAATTAAAACAATAAAAGGATACGTCTTGACAAAACGGGCTGCGAATTGTTAAGTACCTGCGAAACTAGTCTTTGCACTCGGGTTGCCATTTTAAACGACGGAAAGTTGACTTGTTGCTTGTCACACTGTCTATATTTATCACCGTTTCGCTTCAGGGGACTAACTGGTGGCAAACATGCAGCTGTATCTTCGCTTCTATCGTCACGTGATTTCAGCTCTTATGAAATTATGTGCGAGATATTGTGGGTCAGTGTGTATCTTTGTTTTCGCCATGTTTTTTACTCGAACTGGCGACGAGGAGGCGCGAGTATTTAAAAGGGGGAGCAACAAGTGTACACTGGTTGGGATGGTTGGTAAAACAGGATATTGGAGAATCGATTTTTTCTTCATCACGTTAATTTACAAATCAGTTTTATTAAAATTATTTAAAAGTAACTGTTGAAACAAACACATGACGATCAATCAATTTACTTGTAAATGCATTATTTTATCACGATTCAATATATATATTTAAACATACATTCTTTGGTCGAGTTACACGTCGAGCTCATTAAAAAGATATTTTATCAACGGAAGTAAAGGGATATCGTTTTCAGACGATGCGGATGTCGTCCTTGCGCCCAGCACTGTCGGGCAGTTTGTCCCTGAGTAGCCGCAAGTTGTAGAAACAATAACCGAGAGACTCAGTGCAGGGTCGAACGGTTGCTTGGACAAGTGCCGAGCAAAAGTTCCTGGTCGCCAGGCACAGTATCCTCCAAACACGCAAGCACGGAACGATGCACCATATGTGCTGCGAAAAATCAATTCCGAATTAGTTTTCCTTTTTCTTTCAACTCCGTCAAAGCTTCCTGCTGGGGACGGGTTTTTTTTCGATTTCTATTAATGCACGGGACGACGGAGCGATGAATTTTTTAACGAATCGATGATGCCCATCTCGCATCACGAAACTCGCTCGATCAAACTCTACTTATTTGATCTAAATATGAATGTCATGTTCCAAATGTTGTTTATTCATTTCAGCTATTAATTTTATCTTATTTTTACTGGTTAAGAAAAATTATGGAATAAGAGATATAAAATAAAAGTAATAACGAGACTGAAAGAAGAACAATATGTTTCGCTCCAAAAATAAAAATCTGTGATAATTAAAATATCGTAGGAAAAAAATAAAATACAATTTTTCCAAATTCTTGTTTTATTACTGTAAATCGTTAAAAAAATCTGCGAAAGTTGTAGGCTGATCACGAGTACTTTGAGGGGGCACCGCCGTTAAAACGAAATGTTATTGATTCGGAAAAGGGGGTGAGCGACTCGCGATGAAAAGGTAATGTCGAGCTACACGAGGAAACTCACCTCGAAGGCGAGGCACGCAAAGGTGAGGCCAAGCAAAAGAGCAAAGACAGGTGCGACCACGACCGACAGCAGAATGTAGCAAAAGTTCCGGGACAATCTGAAACAGTAGTTGCTCAGTCGCCAGGCACACTCTGGGCTTTTGATCCCATCTGGCTCGCCTATCACGTCGTCCCATGATACCTACCAATGTTTGAGGAAATCATCAAAGATTATTATTTTTTAAGGTGAAACTTTTTTTTTGCTTCTAACGTTCCATGAAAAAATTTTCAACTAAACTATTCTCGTGAAAAAAAAAAAGAAAAGTTTTTCATAACCAACTTTCCTGTAATCATCTAGAAATCAAGATAAAGGAAGAAAAGTCCTTTTTTCAAACACTTTTATGCCTATTACGCGCGTATACGGTTGGAAGTTGAACTGTAGGCACACTTTGATTCTTATCGGAAGTACCGACAAGTTAAAAAATGTTAAATCAATACTTATATGTAAGTAATGTATGTTTTTTTACGAGAAATGTGATGAATTTTCTAAGCTTGCATTTTACAGTTGTTATATCGATGAGACAATAAAATAGTTAATTACGTACCAAAAGATATAATCGACAAGTCAATGACCTACTTATTATTAAACCGAATGTTTTGACACTTTATTCGAGTCATGCAAATCAGTGAGATATATTTTAGTAATCAATTATTTAAATATATTTGAAATGATTATTATTAACACCTTGTAAAATCAAACCTGCACGTGTTCGTTGAGATGGTGAGGATCCCTATCTTCTAGATCGATACTGTCGTCGCCCATGGAAGAACTTACCATCCCTAGAAAATTAAATTTTGGTAACGTTACCGGACACTTTGGGCAATTACCCCTCATCTTGAAAAGTATAAACTTTTGTTTCAAATCAACAAAACGTATTCAACACATTTCACACACTGTTTTATGGATCACTAAAACATTATTTTCAAAACATATCAATAGGAATATTAAAGTAATGTAATCAACTACAAAGAAATTTCAATAAAATCAATCAAGAGCTATCAGAACACGAGTATAACAACGTGGTTGGAGTGCCATAAGCGACTGAAACCTCAAGGATTTACTCTGTAAACTTGCACTTATGCGGTGCTCCTCATCGATTTGACGTGCTAAATATTTATAAAATTTACTTCCAATGCCAGTACTTATATACTAGCTTTTTTAATGGCCTCGAGTAAACTTTTAACGAGAAGTTTTTTTTACAAGACTCTCTAGGTCTTGTAATTTATGTATTAATGATAAATATTTCAATTGCCGTAAGACCCCGAGAGAAAATAAAGTTTAAATAAAAAAATCAATGAATTAGTCACCATATGAATACTTTTCATTTTAGATGATGGATGCGGTTACAGCTAAAGTACTACAAATAGCTTTTGTAAGATCTTCGAGAGAAGTGTTATCAATTGAAAGCAGAGTCAACCATACAATTGGTCACACTTACCTCTCGTAGAAGGGATGGAATTTTCTGGCTTGATTTTTGGAATTGTAAATACCACAAAAACTTCGAAAAAAAAAAAAAAAAAGATTTATCCTATCGATTCATCCTCGTGAAGCCGTTGATTTTTCGCACCAATAGATAACGACAAAGAACACTGTAAAAAATAACAATTCCAAAATGACGCATAACAAAAAATAAGTATCCTCAAACCAAGGAGCTGAGCTTTAATGGGAGTGCGCTAACAAAAGCTTCGCGTGTGTGTTGTATTGTATTTTTGTGCCGGGAAAAGCTGCCCAGCCGCAAGTGGACAACGGCCAGTGCGACTGCGCGTTGCTCATACGGATACGTAATATATGTATATTCAACACGCAGGGCATTAGGGGGTAGAAAGGGCTCGCGTTTTCTTTTACCTTTACTTCTCGTTACGTGCACAACAGGTATACGTTATTTGTGTGTGGGGGGGGGGGAGGGGGTGAAAGTGAATGCCCTACATATTATGTATACACTTGCACGCGAGCACGAGGCCGGTGGGTTTGGTATAAGCTCGCTTCAAGAATTCAAGCTGTTTCCTCCTGTGTAACTGTATATAGCTGGTTTGTCGAATCAGGAGCATCAGGTGTAAATGAGAATTCATGTGGGGGGTGCTACAGTTGCTTTTGTCACGTGAATTTTGTTATATGATTCTTCTTTTAGAGTTTGATTGCGATTGATATAAACGAAGGCATTTATTCTGTCACAGTAATTTTTATTTATCCTGCTCTGTTTGGAATGTTTCATTGAAAAATCAATTTTGGTCGGCAAATATGTTATGTTTTAATATATATATTGGTCTAATACTTTCTGAACGTTAACAAAAATTGATACAAGTTAAACCTGTTGAAGTTACACAAAACGTTATACAAATATAGTATACAATCTATAATTTTTGTATCGTCATATTATGATACTGCTGAATATTACGATTAATAAGCTCTCCTTTACTGCCTAATTTTGCCATACTCCTAAGGGACAACGTAGTTAGAGATTATCTTATCAAAAATTATAAGAAATCAAAGAACGATCGCGATTATCACATTTGATTACGTAGGTATGTATATGTACATAAATTTTCTTGAACGAGAATTTAATAAAAGGATTTATTTGTAACAAAATCTACCTTATTAGCTGTTGATAAAATAAATAAAAACAATTTAAAGATTCATATTTTTAGGGTGTTGGAAGTTTCTACTTTATACATCACCGACTCACTTACATTGATACATTTCCATTAATTGTATCAATTGCATAGCTATTTCAATGTAAAGTTATGTAAAGACGTATCCAACTATTATACCAAGGAACAAACAAAGCGACAATTTCATCATAGTTGGTTGTAAATTAAGAATGAAAAATTTTTTTCGTATGATCGGTAAGGAATAATGGAATGCAAATTTTACAATTTAAACAATTGTGCGATGTCTTTTTTCTTATCAAACAATGAATTTTTGCTTGCTTTAATTCTCTACACGCCAAATAATTCGTATGATAAATGAAAGTTTAGAGACACAAGAGAGGTAGTTGGTAAAGTAGACAGTACACTCACAATCACATACTGAATACTTTCAATGCTTTTACTCGCTATTTTCTTCTTAGATGTCGCCCTTTGATCCGCTTGCCGAGTTGGTAAGCATCAAATTATCAGTTGTGTGAAAATTAATGTTTGGTGATAAGTATATATTATTTGTTTCGTAGAGTCTAATAATATTGGTAACAATTGTGACAATTAATTATTATGAAGTAATAAAAGCAAAATACAGGTCTCACCGAGATTTGAACTCGGATCGCTGGATTCAGAGTCCAGAGTGCTAACCATTACACCATGAGACCTTGACCCGTAGAGGTCAAAGATGGTAGAAAACTTCAAATTATTATCTAAGATTAAGCGATATTTTTTTGAGATTTAGAAAAATCCATTAGTATGTATGAGTATAAAAATTCAGGTGATTTACAATTTTATAAAAAATTACCATCGTACAAATACGTCTAATAGGAAATTAATTTGTAAGAAAACCCTTTTTTTGTGTAAAATAAATAAAACTGGTGCATCTAAGTAGTAGAAAATAAAAAATGATGTATACTATTCAACGTCCTTAATTTTCTTATAAGATTATAAACGAGATAATATAGATTAACTTAACTTCATAAAAATGTGGAAAAGTAGGCTTTAAAGTTAGAAACAACTACTTTACTTCAGAGTTAATTAGTGTTATTAGTAGACGATAACAACTTATGAACTAAAGTCATCAAATTTATATAAATTTTGTGTTTTATTAGGCATTTAGAAAAACACAATTATCATTTGATTTTTAAGAATTACTGTAAAATTAATAAACTACAGAAATTGCTCAACTATTTTGTTGTATTGATGATAAAATGACAATGTAGTTTAAAACATAATAAATGTTCAACAAGTAAGTAATATCAATTTCTATTTCAAAGAGTTCGAATCGTCCTGGTTAAAATAAGTATTCAATTTGTATATAATGCGATAAAAATGGACCAGAATAGAAAAAAATTTTCAATGTTGAAATTACTAACATTTTTACTAATATGGAAAAATTTTTAAAAGAAATACAATGTAATTTTAGCTATTTTCAAAATGATGTAGTTGTACAAATACAAATTGACATATGCAAAATTTTTATTGTAAATTCATTATTGTAACCTATAAACAAATAGTTATAATTGTAAACATTTTTGCACTTTTTATGTATACCTGTCATGAACTTGAAAAGACGTTTTTAATTCATGTACCACCATGATTTCTATACACACGCATAATCTCAAAAACATGATTCAGATCATAGTAAACAGAATAAGGATAGGCTTTTTGACTTATATTTTGTATGTTTCTAGATTAAATAGATACAATTTTTTTCATAGAAAATGTTCCAATTACATAGTTATAATACCACGATTAACTGCGAGAATAAGTGGTGTACATACCTATTTGGTTAGTACACTATAACATAAAAAAAAGTATGTATGATTAATGTGAAATAACCTACATATTCTCACAGTTGAAGCTAAGTTGAAGTTGATAATAGGCTATCATCTAAATTTGGTACTATACTCATTATACGTTAGTAGCTGTTACTTCATATCGCTAATGTATGGTGTAATGCAACAAAGGGGTAAGTGTACCTATCTCCGTGCTCTGCCCTATTACCGTGGATTTTGAAAAACTGATGATTACTTGCTCAAAATAAGAAATGTTTCATATAAAATAATTTTTCAATTTTAATAATCTAAAATATCGTTAATGTAGATGCAATTCAAACAGAAATATTTGTGTATATTTTGAGTAAATAATTATTTTCCACGGTATTCGGTACAACGCGCTCATTAACTGATTGTGTACGTATTTCCGCGGTGAGCGTACGTAAACATAACCCTATACTTACAGAACGCACGACAGTTAACACGTAAACAATTAGTAGGTAAGCACGTCGATCTAACGTAACCAAGATGAAGAAAACTAAAAAAGGCAAAAAAGGCAAGAAAGGCAAGAAAGGCAAGAAATCGATCGAAATAAAGAAAAACAAAAAGTTTTACACTCCAGAGACATTAAAATTAGCTTTGAAAAGTATCTATTCTGGAAAATCTATTGCTGAGTGCTCAAAAATGTATAAGATTCCTACTAAATGAATAAGCAAGTACAAAAAAAAGTAATATTTTTTTAAAACAGTAAATAAGTCATGTAGAAAATGTAGGTGAAATTTGCATTTTTTTTTATATTCCGCAAATACAACTTTTTTCACCCACGGTAATACGGACACGGTGATTGGGACATCCGCGGTAATAGGTACACAACCACGGTAATACCAGCATACCGTTTTTATTCGTTTTAAAAATATTCTACTGCAGTTTTAGCTTCATAAAATTTTTTTGAATATTCTGTAAGAGATTATGTAAGATTTAAAAAAAAAGAATATTCCAAAAAATTTTAGTATACCATTTTTTATGGTGCATTTAAGTTGGAATTTTCAGTACGTGCCACGAAGATAGGTACACTTACCCCTATGTAAGATTTAAAAAAAAATATTCCAAAAAATTTTAGTATACCATTTATTATGGTGCATTTAAGTTGGAATTTTCAGTACGTGCCACGAAGATAGGTACACTTACCCCTACATTACAACATTTAATATAACATCATTATGTAAGTACACAATATGTTACGTTAATATTATAAATTATAATATACTATAATAAACACAACATATTAAATTACCTTATATGTTATATTATATGATGAATGTGAACAATTACATACATGCACTGGACTCTTACATGAGCCAAT